GAAAAGAATTGTGCTGAATAGAATAACTATTTCTGTCTGTGTATCTTTTTTGTAACTTAAGGTTTTGCCTAGAGGGGTTCTCTATGTTTTTGAATCTAATTACCCTGTAAGATATCTACCATCCTGATTTTACAGGGGGGATTTCTTCATTTCTATTTACTTCTATTTTTATTAAAAGTCTTCTTGTAAGAAACTGAATGCTTTTTCATTGTTCTCAGATCCAAGGGTTTGGGTCTGTGGTCACCTATGCAAATTGGTGAGGCTTTTTATCCAACATTTCCCAGGAAAGGGGGGGGTGCAAGTGTTGGGAGGATTGTTCATTGTTCTTAAGATCCAAGGGTCTGGGTCTGTAGTCACCTAGGCAAATTGGTGAGGCTTTTTACCAAACCTTGTCCAGGAAGTGGGGTGCAAGGTTTTGGGAAGTATTTTGGGGGGAAGGATGTGTCCAAACAGCTCTTCCCCAGTAACCAGTATTAGTTTGGTGGTGGTAGCGGCCAGTCCAAGGACAACGGGTGGAATATTTTGTACCTTGGGGAAGTTTTGACCTAAGCTGGTAAAGATAAGCTTAGGAGGTTTTTCATGCAGGTCCCCACATCTGTACCCTAGAGATCAGAGTGGGGGAGGAACCTTGACAACACTGAAATTAATTATTATACACTGAAATCATGCTTTATAGTCTGCAACAAGGCAGAGTAGACAAACAAATCTTCTGCCACACAAAAGCATGTCTATTTACCTATCCCTGTATCCAATGTAAATAAAGCATTGTAAAGCCAACACAATGGAAATCCTGTCTGTATGTGAAGTCAACAAAAAATAGTGAGGAGAGCATGTGAAACCAATGGGGGAAGCACACCAGAGAACAAGCAACAGGGGAGAAGAGTCTTATCTGGGGATGAACTTTAAGAGGGGCATCAAAAAGGTTACTGGACTATTAGAGGAAGAAAAAAGGACCCCTTTCATATCCTTCACTAAAGAAAGCAAAAAGAGGGTGCTTTTTGCGTTCATGTAAATTGCATCCTGGCCATGTGGGCTTGCGATGTGGGGAGATTGCTTTAGGTGAGAAATTGCTTTGGAGAAGGGTTTTAGCATGTTACAGTTAAGTTTAGACTCTAAGAAGCATATTATCCCTTGTGTTTTACATGTAACCTGTTGTTCTTATTATCCTTGCTTACAATCTCTTACATTTCAATCTTTGTAATGTGATGGAGTCACACCCGACAATTCTGGAAGAGTGCTCCTGTTGGGTTCCGTGAGTTGGGTGGCACAGGGCTGCCCACAGCTAAATGCCCCTCCCTCAGCCTAGGGGAGGAGCCACTGAGCCGGGGACTCAAATAAATAAGGGGGACAACAGAAGAAAAACAAGGACAGGTGTGAAGGTCAGAGGGTCAAAAGTAGGGAACCTGACGGGGACACCAAGCAGAGAACCCTGGCCAGCGCCTCGATCTGGAAGAATGGTCCTGTTGGGTTCCAGGAAGTGGGCAGGTGCAAATTATGGACATCTGCATCTAATTAAGGGCATACAATGACCTTTAAAAACCCCTTTTAGTGGGGGGGTGAGAGGAAGGATGAGAAGCAAGCTACAGAAGGCTTGTTTGCAGTGAGGGGAAAAGGGCTTCTCCTAGGTAAACAGATGTTTCTTCTCCATATGGGGAAATCTTGTGTTTGTTTCTGTTTGGAGAGGTTCCCCATGCAGCTGGGCCCAGAGTGGGTTAGAGATGGTGGCTGGCAATTAATAGCCAGCTTATTACCCAGTGGGATTTGGGAAAACCCAGTGGGATTTGGGAAATGTATTTTTTTGGTTGTTTAAAGAAGTCCCTTGGGCTAACCCTGTCCATATTGTAAACAAACCAATGTGAAGTAATACCACAACTCCAATGCCAGAGAGAGAAATGCTGAGCCCTCATGTGATGAAACAGGTGCATTATCACAGCACATAAACTCATATTTGTGTAAGCAGAGTCAGGATGAACTCCACCCTGACATCTGGTGGTGAGTTGTGGCAAGTTGTGGAAAAGAACTTCAGGGGCTGATCTCATTTGCATAGGCACACTCACCTCGCCTAGCATGAGCCCATAGCTGCCGAAATGGTCACTTTCGCTGCTGTGGGATCGCCAGTTTCTCTGTTATTGGGGCAGGAAGAATAAATTGTTATTATCCTGATTATGTGAATCAAAGACAGTGCAACTGTACTTGGCTTTTTGTTATGGTGGAGGGACTCGCCATCAACTAAGTAGCACTCGCTAGGCAAGGGACATGGGTTCCAAAACTCTGTGAATGGAGAGAGAGGTTGGGGACAAGTATTAATATGGTGGTATGAGTCCCTGATGAGGGTCCTACATGCCAATTGCTCTTCTTCCTTTTCCTTTCTTCCCTCTTCTCCCCACTCTTCCCCTCCTCCCCCCCTGTGGAATTTCAGAGCCAGTATTGTTCCATTAGGAGTTTAGTTACAGGCTGCTGAGCTCAATTCACTTTGGGCCAATGCTGCACCAGCACTGAGGCTACCCTACTACAAGCTGAAATCATGACAAAGCTGAAATCATGATTGTTGTGTTAAGTAGTGGGGGGGCCTGAAGATATATTGCAGAGCAATTTGCGGGATGGCTGGAGCAGCTCCTGGGGGGGAGGGTGCTGGCAGAGCAGAGTGATTCGTGGGTCAGCTGGTAGAGCGGAGCAGAGCCCCACGGACAGGTGGGGCAATCGGCTTCAGACCACGTAAGGTGCCCCTTAACCCTCCCATTTCCACCTAGGCTGGGAGGTAAAGCTCTGCAGATAAACTTTCAAACTCTGACCAGGGACAGAGACTTTTGGGTTGCTGGACTTTGGGGATTTTGGGTGACTTTTGGTTTGCTGGACTCAAGAACCAAAGGGAAAGAACACGGCCCAAATTTGCTTGGGATGGGTTTTGCTCATGGGTTGTGTTATGAATCCTGTTGGTGGTGTTTCCCCAACATAATGCCACATTGTTTCTCTCTGTTATTAAAAGGCTCTTGCTACACTCAGACTCTGTGCTTGCGAGAGGGGAAGTATTGCCTCTTAGAGGCGCCCAGCAGGGGTGGTATATATTTGTCCCAGGTCACTGGGTGGGGGCTCGAGCCTGTTTTGCATTGTGTTATTGGAATGGAACCCCTAGATACTGAACCTGGCCCTTGTTGCTGCCAACTCTGACGGGCAGAAGGGTTACATTTGTTTTCACTTTAAGTAGATTCCAGTGCTGTGCTGTTATAAAGGATCTGATCCTGAGTTGTGCCAGCTAAGCAGTGTGCATGCTCTCTCTTTGAAGACAGCTTGTTATTGCTGTGAGTGTCTTGTGACACTGGCTGGATACGACAGCAGGGCTAGGATGTTGATATGTGTCTGTCACTAGCCTGCAAGAGGGTGCTTGGCTGTGACCAGAGGCTGTTGGTTTCAGGGAACAGAACGACAGCAGGCATTAGGCAAGACTCTCCACACTAAGAGCAGGTGGTGAGGTGTCTCACAATCGGAAGTACCCCTGCATGAGCATTACATGTGATATCCCAGCAGCTTCACGTTATGTTAAACTGAAATCTGCTAGCCTGTAAGTGTTCTGCCTGACAGGGCTGGCACAAGGTGAACTGTCCTGATGTCCCCTCTGCCCTTTTCATACTGGCAATCTCAGACTACTTAACATCAAGGAGGAATTCAATAAGAAACTTGTGAATGCAATGCAGGCCTTATGAGCAAACTTACAATAGGAAATCAGTGGGGGCAGAACATGTCTCCTCCTGAGCAGCCTTAAAATGCCATACCAGCGCACACAGCTACCATGCTGATGAGTGTGGAAGGGCTAGGCAGATACCCATGCCTTGCAATAGAAAGCCTGATTTGCTGCAGCACAGAAGTGCAAATACATATTTGGGGATTCACTGTATGAGCTTTGAACACCTGAAGTGTTGATTAGATCCTGGACCTATATATCTAGTATTCTGATTTATCTTAGAAGCAAATGTTTCAAGAAAAGCTAACACACACGACTTCACAGAAGTGTGAGTAACTCATCTAAATCAAACAGAAAAGGAGGACTTGTGGCACCTTAGAGACTAACCGATTTATTTGAGCATAAGCTTTCGTGAGCTACAGCTCACTTCATCAGATGCATTGTATCTCACTGTAGCTCACGAAAGCTGATGCTCAAATAAATTGGTTAGTCTCTAAGGTGCCACAAGTACTTTTCTTTTTGTGAATACAGACTAACACGGCTGTTACTCTGAAACCTGTCATCTAAATCAGTTGAAAATTAATCTTTTGTTTGAATGTTTAACGAAAATTAATGTTTTGTTTAGCACAGCTTCAAGTACCTGAAGGCCTACAAATATAATTTTGAATTTACCTTGTTCATTTTAATTACAGATAATTGCATGTATTAAAAAAAATAATAACAACAAACTAGCGAGGTTTCTGGCTGTTCCAGGTCTCCCAGGCCAGCGTTGCTTGGGAGGCAAGTGTCAGATTTTGAAATGACACCTTCAAAATTGCAAAACTTTAATTGTGGAAAGATGATTGTAATGGGGCACTTCTCGGACCCGGGCACCCTACAGGCACCTCAGCCCTCACGGGGATGGGCGGGCAGGGTAGGTGCTGGACCGAGGGATGCTGAGGGTGCCGCCGCACCCCCCGGCTTGACGTGTTTTACATCATCCACAGGGTTGACAGTTCGGGTCACTGGCTCCCAGCACCCCGGCTCTACCCATTGTTCCAGCCCCGCGGGCGGGGAGCGGAGCAGGGACTGTGCTTAGCCAACCTCTCACTGGGTTTGGGGCGGCGCAGGGAACGGGGGAAGGGCAGTGCCCTCCCCCACCCACCCCCCCCCGGGGCTGCCGAGGGGCCTCATTACAGAACAGATATAACAAGCTACGGCTAATACCAATGATTTCCCCCACCCACCCGGCTGCCTGCCCCGCCCAGCTTTTCCCCGCCATCCGCTTCCCCCTCCCCGTTCCTCCCCCACTGCTCCGGCCTTGCTGCCCCCCGCCCCCGCCCCCGTCTCCACCGGGGCCTGCCCCCTCCCCCGCTCGTCTCGTCTCCTCCCCTCGCCGGGCCGGGCGCCCGCCTCCCGCTCCCGCCTGCCCGGCACTGGCTGACTCTCTTCCGGCGGCGGGCTGTGCGGAGCGGCGGGCGCGGTGAGTACGCGACAGCGGGAACCCCGCAAGGGTTAACGCCACCTGCCCTCCCCAGGGCGCTGGGGCAGCCTCCCGGGGGCGGGCGGGTAAAGCTTCCTGCCGCAGCCCCCTCCACGCGCGGCGGACTGGGGGCTCCTCTGCCGGTCAGCCCCCACTGCAGCGAGCCCCTTCCCGGGCAATCGCATCCCCAAAAGACCGGTGACTGGGTGGCAGCTTCCTGGGGGAAGGGGGGGGGGGGTAAATCCAAATGCAGAGTCCCTCCCCTCCAAGCAAGAGGGAGGCCTGGGGGTCACCCCTAATGCAGCAACCTCCCTCCAGATTGGAACCCCCCCTCCAATTAATAAACAGGCATGACATTGCAGAGTGAGCGGGGGGGGGGGGGGTCCGTGTTTGGCCCGTACCCTCCAGGGTTGGCTAGTAGCATGCCCAGGGGGACCGGTGGGTTCCTCTGTGCTGGATCTATTGCTCCTCGTGTACACCCCACCTATACAGACTCGACTAATGCACCCGGCTTGGGGAGGGATGTATAATCAAGATGAGGGCATTAAGGAGGCGGGGGGGGTGGGGACACAGATTTATACCTAGGCACAATAAAGATCCTCAGTTTCAATCCTTTCCGGAAAAGATGCGTTATAATGGGGAAAAGTACCATGATGAGGGCCACCTGAGTGTCTAGATAAAGAGAAATAACCCCTGCTTCAGTTTCCTGTTGACATAGATAAGGGGAAGAAAACGCATTAACCCTCCGGAAGAGGCAATCATAGTTGCCTTTGGGGATGAAATGAAGAGTTTGAAATAACTGTTCCTTAACAAAGAAGCTCTTTGAAAAAACAGGGGAGAAATGTGTGGTGAATGCCCATGTGCGTGGTTCAGGGGCGGCAGGGATCAGAGGAGGGGTTGTGAATTGAAAGCACGCTGCCGAGCTGGCTGCTGCTGCTGCAAACCTCTAACATCTAGAAGTGGCTTCAGTGCAGAATGATGAAATCTCCCTCCAAGTTACACACCAAAGATGGCTGCTGTATTGAGGAGCCCGTCTCAGCAGCAGGCCCTATCCATTTAACACAGACTACAGCTTTTGTTGCTAGGCTACAAACAGGACTGACTTTTTGCCTTATAAATCTATGTGGTAGTGGTGTTGTGATGGGAGGGGCTGGTGCTAGCATGTGATGTGTTTTTATTAATGCCCTTGGGAAAGTAGACATTTGCAATCAAAGCTTTCTGGTTTCTACGGATATTTACCAGCAAATGCTATTTTAGGGGAGAAAAAAATCTGGCAACTCATTTGTAATTTTCTTTCTCACTATCTTGCTCTGCTGCTGACTCCTAGTTATCATCTTTTTAAACTGGGGCTGCCAGCATAACGCAGAGAGGGAACAGCACTGCTAAATGACAGAGATAAATCTGAAATATGCTGAAAATTTGGCATCATGTAAAGACGCTCCTCTCCCCAAAATTATCCTCCCTTAAAACAATCTAGCACTAATGATACTTAAAATGAGAGGTGTTGGCCTGATGTCTCTGGAGCCTGAAGTCTTTTTATCATCAGAACAGTTACAGTAGGAGTAGTTGCAGTGTGTGCCGCCCCATCGTTGCCTTGTCAGACTGCCTCAGCCTTGAGGTAGAGGGGTCACCTTTTCCAGGTGGCAGGGAGTAGTTCGGTCCCCAGGGTCTTCAGGCTTGGCTACTCCACAGAAACTGTCAAAAGACACGTCATTGTGATGGGCATTTTCAGGTCTGGGGGAAGGATAATCCATATCCATTGGGGACAAGACTGAGACTACCCAAAAAGAGTACGTCTACTCAGTAGTTAAACACCTGTGGCTGGCCTGGGTCAGCTGACTCGGGGTCAGGCTGCAAGGATGTAAAATTGCTGTGTTGGGCTCTGGGATCCAATGAGGTAGCCCAAGCCCGGACATCTACACAGCGATCTTTAACTCTGCAGCCCAAGCCAGAGACAGCTGACCTGGGCCAGCCATGGCCATGCCGCAGGTCTTTAATTCTAGTGTAGACATACGCAAAAAAGGTGACCAAGGTCGGATCACTTGATGATGACCTGTTCTATTCATTCCCTCTGGGGCACTTGGCATTGGCCACTGTCGGAAGACAGGATACTGGGCTAGATGGCCTTTGGTCTGACCCAGTAGGGCCGTTCTTATGTTCTTGAAAGGGCAGTGTGTTAATTTCAAAATTAAGGTACTGAGAATGGTTAGCAAATTTTTATAGCATTAGCATCCTTATAAATCATGCTGTGATGTTTGGCGCATCATAATAAATTATAAGGGTGTTGGCTCAAATTAATAGCTACTGCTATTAGCTTAAATGAGCTTTTGCATCACAGCAGTTTGTTTTCATGCCATCTCCCATTCTGATGGGCGAGGTTGCACAGGGCTTGAAAAATGTACCTAGCATCATAGGTGGCAGGTATAATAGGCCAGGGGAGGCTTTGCCTCCCGTAGCGCTGCCACTGGACACTGGTTGCAGGTTCAAGGGGGGAAATGTTTGCTTTTTATTATACTCCATGCGGGTTCCTTCCCTGTCTCATGCAGGTCAAATACATCCCTGCTAGTCTTTCTCTGGAAGCACTCTGCTTCTCCAGTTAAAGCTGGACCTCCCACACAACCTGCCTCCTCCCCATTCAATTTATGCTGGTCAGACACACAGTGTCCTCTGCTGGGGTGGCAGGAGGACCCTTGGCTTATTAACAAAGCCTGCTGCTATGGTGACAGGCATCTGGGGCCATTCTGTTGGACTTCATTCTGCTCAAAACCAGAGAGCATCAGGCTGAGGATCAGGGGGATGTTGGATAGACTGAAGGAGAGAAACAGTGGGTCCCCTGTCTGCCAGCACAGCAGAGAATGCTTGTATAAGGAGGCCCTACAAAGCAGAAGGGTTGGGGGGGAGGAGGCTTTGCTGACACCAATTCAGCAGATCCCTCGTCTGGGATTATTGCCCCCCCACTAGTGCCTTTGCCTAAGGTTTTGGAGGTGGCAGTCCCCATTGTACATAAACGCTGCCTCCTCAATCATTAGCAGTGTTGGAACCGTCCCACCCACCCATCATAATAACATTAGATGTCCCCTTTTTACTCTGGAGCTAGAGATGTCCATCTGTAGAGTTAGGAAGGCATCACTGCATCAGTTTATACTTGGTTCACATTTAGAAGTTTATGTTCACAATTATACGGTCTGGAAACTTTATTTTATTTTTATTTTATTCAATGAACACTTGGATTCTGCAGAAACTGGTAACACTTGTACAGAGAAGATTTCTGCTCACCCAGGAGTTAATGAATTTGTCACTGTGATTTTAGTAACCAGTACAATTTAAAATGTTCTAAAATCTTAAATTCTGACTACAGCTAAATTCAGTGCTTTTCATTTGTATTTTAATGTGAGTAAAAAAGTTACCAAGTGTATCATCCTTCGAAACCTCATCTAATCTGTGACTAATTGAATCACATATAGTTGCTGCTTCATTTGTGACTCTTGCTTCAGGTTACAAAGTAGCTATAGAACATTTTACATTTAATAAAGGAAAAAGTGAACTTTGAAACATTACAGTTGAGAGTTTAATTCCTGACGACTTCTGAACGTGCAGTTTTCAGACCCGTTGCAGCTACTGTTGTTATCCTTTAAACAAAGTTTAAAGTCTTCCCGCTGCTGCTGATCCCATGGTAAAACTAACAGTAGCCTTTGTACTTAAAAACTGTTGTTTAGACTTTGCTCTGGTTTGTGATTTCATTTTCAGGGGAGGACGCTGTCACTTCTTATGATATTTTTAAAATTTATTCCCCATTAAGTTTGGTACAGGACACTTGAAAAAAAATTGCAGATGTTTCCATCTTATCAGAGAGTAAGTAAGAAGGGGCAAACTTGAGTGTGTTTGGTAGTATTGCTTTTAGATGCCCCTTCAAATTACCCTCCTAAATACCAGTAGGGGATCAGAAAAGACAAAAACTATTAAATGAAGTTTCTGTCAAAAACTGATTTTAAAAAATTAGCCAATTAAAAAATGAGAGTGTCCCTTAAAGAGTTCTTATCTGTTATGCACAAACATCTTTTATAATGTCTTCTAAAGTGCCATGCACACCTAACTATATATGAAGATAAGGGCCCACATCTGAGGAGTCTAATCTGAGGCCATGATTCTGCTAAGAATTGCATATGGACTACTCACAGTGCATCAAGTTAAGCACAGGCATGGGTTGTTGTTGGGGTTTTGGTTTTTTTTTGTTTGTTTGTTTGTTTGTTTTTGCAGGACTATGGCATCCCTCGTCCCAACCAATGAAACTACTCACACACTTAAAATTATGTCTGTTTGTCATTGTTTGCAAGACCTGGGCCTAAATGGAACATAATGTAGACAAAGGAGGAGGAAGAGATGCAGGAGAGAAAGTTATACATAACTTTATGCATCTGACTTCTTTCTTAACAACATCTTTAAGATTGTATTAAAGTTAGACTAAACTGACATAGGAGAAGTTTTTTTACCCAACTAACTTAATCTGGAGGCAATGTGGTCCAGTGGATAGGACATTGGACCTGACCACTGGATGACACTGTTGTAGGAGACCTAGTTTATATTTCCAATTTTGTCATTGCCTTTCTCTCTGTCCTTTGACACGCCGTCAAGCCATATAACCTCTCTGTGACTCAATTTCGCCATCTGTAAATTCAAGATAATGATTCCTTCTTTCATGAAGCATTCTGAGATCTATAAGTGAAAAGTGCTTAATAAATATTGTTGTTTATGATATTTTTCCTCATAATCTTGAATTCTGGATTAGAACCATCTGGATCTATATGTCTGAGTTTTATTAAAAAGTAAATATACTTTGAATTCAAGTGGTGGATGTGTTGTGTTTCTGGAATCAGTGAAAAAATTTTATTGTCAAAAAGTAACAAATAAAAAAATACATGTTTATATATCCACAGCAGAAGCAACTGTTTAACTGTGTTATACAAAAATATCTTTGGGGTTTTTAATACTTTCCCATAGTG